ATAGATTTCAGATGCGTATATTCCGGGTAATTTGTTATTCTGAAAAATCAAGTTGCAATGCATATGAGATTTTTTCAACAAACTTTATGATTTATGAAGGATTTTATCACTGACTCGCGGAAAGTATTACTAGCTTTCAATTAATTTCATTGAAAATTTTACATTTTTTCCGGAAAATTACAATTGACGGAAAATTATTTGGCGTCTGGGAAAAATTTCGGGAATTTAAAAATTAGAGATCCTGAATTCTCTCAAATTTCCAATACCAAAATTTCACACATTTAATTGAACCCTAAAAATATTTAAATTTCCCAAAATGTGTACCAGAAATTTTTTCATAAAATCCGTGAACCTCCGGAGAAATCATTTTCAATTTCAAAAAACATTTCCGATTTTTTTATTCTCAATGCCATCCATGCAGTCACAGTAGATCTCAGTCATCAGCTCAGGGTCATAATCCCAAGCGCAATTTCTACTCGCCATATTCTTCCCCATTCCAACAATAATAAATTAAATAATAAATTTTACTGAATAATTGGTAATATATCCGACGCATTGTCTGCCCCTATCAAAAATACATGAGCTGATAAAGGATATTTGTCCACATATATATAAATTATGTATGTACTCCCCCAATTTATTATTCCGACTGTAATTTAAATCGAATATAAATATGACACGTGAATATTATTTTCCTGTGGGTTGAGAGACAATCGGTGCGGTTTTCCCCCTGGAAATTCCAAAATACTGGATGAACCTGTGATGAGCTCCTGGGAAATAAACAACTATGAGGTGTTACTCATTGAATATTGATTACGTAAAGTCAGGATCATGCTCGTTGTATTGGTGATTATCGAGCTATAAAAGAAGAAATCATCAATGGTTTTTCATAGTCTATTTTCCGGTGTCTTGATACTCAGTCCAGGATTGAGTTCTTCAAGATGTTGAAAGCTTTTTTGATTCTGCTCCTTGCCAATGGGTTGTGGGCACTTCCGGTCGATTCGGATTCGAGTGAGTTCAAAAATTATTACACATTCGACAGAAGCCCTTTCAATTTTCACAATCAGATAGAATAATTGATATCCCAACAATTTCTTCGATTCCAAAAGAACTCCTGAAGTAATTCATCATTTCAATTGATAAATACCAATTGATTACTGAACGATTTTTTTCAATAGTAATTACTTATTTCTAATAATTAATAATGTAAATAATGTTATAATAAATAATGATCAGGTTTATTTCTGCCGTGAATTCGGAGTGATTAGATAATTTTTTTTGGGAGATCGTCTCGATTATTTTGGATTGACTTAATTGATGCTTTGGGTTGATGAGGGTCGTGATTTTATTTAATTCATCCAAATTAATTTAGGCCGAACAGCCAAAGTAGAAGTGCCGTCGCTGGAGTTACAACCCCCAAAGGAGGACGCGGAGACAGCTGATTTCAATGATTTTAATGTTGACGTTCTGAACGAAAATGTGACGCTTGCAACTGAATTATTACCTCCGAAGGAAGATGAAGAGACTCGTCATGGGATTGTCTTCATCGTTAATCTTTTCGCGGTGAAAAATGAAACGGATGAAGAGGATCCAAAAGAGGTTCTCACTGATGATATCAAGGCCGCGGTACCAGCAATACTCGGTGAGCTTTTCATATCCTGAGTTTCAATCGGAAATTAATGATATGATTAAATTTGAACGGCGAACTTCATTGAAAAATTACTGTGTTAGAACCTGTGGCGACGATTCTCCTCGTCGTCGAGGAGGACGACGAAGGTGCACTGGTCAGTCTTGACGAGCTCGCCAAGGAGCTCGAGGAAGAGGGCATCAAGGTTGAGAAAATAGGTGATGATGTGGATACAAAGGTCATCAGGGTTGACTTCGATGGAGAAGTGTCTGGTGAGGATTCCGATGTCCGGGAGTTGCAGCCGAAGAAGCTCAACCGAATACGAAGATCACCCCATCTCATCAGCAAACTTTTAGAGAAGAAATTCGGTGGCGGCGGTGGCTGCAATACCTGCGGCGGTGGTTATCAGCCACCACCACCTCCACCTCCCTGTTACAACTGCGGTGGTGGACACTACGGCGGTGGTGACCGTAAGTTTATTATTATTTTTTATCAGGAATTTATTAAATAAGACTAATGGGTGGATCGGATGAAATAAAGCTCTTCCAGATGAATTCAAATGGATACGATTGTTGATATTTCAGGTACAATCGTTATACCTGTGTATGAACAGCCTCGGTACCAACCTCAACCTCATTACCAGCCACAGCCTCATTATCAGCCACAGCCTCATTATCATCCCGGTGGCGGTCAGTGTGATGTCTGCAATGGACGAGGTGGTGGTGGCGGGTAAGATCTTTTTCACTGATAGTAAATAAATCATCAAGTCCGAACCATCACACGATAAAAAAAAATTCTCGTCCTCTCCTTTTCATCCGTTCACCAGATTTTCCCCTTTACCAACGGACGATTCAATTGCTACAATTACTTCTCTCCGCGATTTACATTTATGAACGTTATGATCTGGTGTTAAAATAATTCCCACGATTTTTAGGAATCATGGATCGTACAGTCAGGCCTCTGCGCAGGCTTCCTCCGGTAGTTGGTACGTGGATTAATCAAAAAATTATTTACAAGTAAAATTGGGAACAGGTAATCACCCTTTTTGGTTTTCAGGTAAAAAAATCACCGCCCGTTGTTCCACTTGAAGACTATTTATCTCAATTCCCACAATTCATCGATGTGTTATGATTCCAACGTACCCTGAAGACATTTTTTTTGTAATGTTAATTGCATGATAATTTTAATGAACATTTTAAAAAATAAACAACTCTGCGGAAGTTATTGCTTTTACCTTGTGAAGATCGTGGCTGCAATGTCAAT